GGGGGTCACTCACAAGGCGAGGCGTTGTGTTCTCGTTCACGTCGCGTCCCCGCCCGGCCGCCAGGGCCGCGGGGCGCGTACTGCAGGGTACCCTGGTTACGGCTGCTTTATGCAGGACATGCTCGCTATCACGTGAGTGAGTGAGTGTGTCTGTGTGTGTGTGTTCGTTCCCTGAAGCGCACACGCCGACGCCACATCGCGCGGACAGGCGAGCCGTCGCAGCTCGTCGTGAGGTCGTCGGTTTCCTCCTCCTCCGCGTGTGCACCGTGACGCCGTCACGTGACGTCACAGTCGGTCGTGACGTCACACTAGTGAGCGACGGCGTCCCCCCGTGCGGCGCCACACACGTGTCGCGAGTTCGCCCCGCCTTCCTCGTATGTGCTTTTACGATTAGAGCAGCTGATGGTGAGCCAGTGCAACCCGCCCGCGACGACGCTTCCCTGAAGCACCGAAAATAGCCCGCGGAGGCGCAAAGAGCAGGAGCGGCGTTTATAACCGGTTCATTCACGGGCGACGTTTGTTCTCCACAACAGCCAAGGACGGACTGGAATGCGCAAAGTTTGCCGTTTGGCGCCGGCCGTGCATCGGAATAACACGTTATTTGTCGCGACGTGGTCGCACTGCGTCGTGAAATATTTAAAGCGGAAGGCTAGCCCTCTATGACGGCTTTCTGACGCTGTGCGTTTGTCCCCCACCCCTGGCACAGTACGTCCATGGGGCCAAAGCCGAGGGCGATCCCAGTCGGCGCAACAAGTGGCGGCCACCCCGCCTAGCGCCGCTCCCCCACCCCATCCCGCTCCTCCGCCCCGCGCTGCGCTGCCCATGCGCCCTGCTCTGCTACATGTCGAGCTGATCAGCGCCACGCGGTCTGATGAAGTTGTTTTTCTCGGGAGGCCCATGATGAACGTCCTTTTATTCTCTGGCGTCTCCTGCGCCCCTCCCGATGACGTCCCTCTCCGTTCGTGGCATCGCTTCATGCGGGCCCTCCCCTGCCCTCCCCGCTCCCTCAGGATGCCGCCGTCAGTCACGGGGAGGACACGTCCGCAACAAGTATGCACCACCACCGCTCATTTCAGAACTAACTCTACCCTGAGCTGAGCGTTCAAACGCATCCTCCCCACGCCCTGCCCCGCTGCCCCTCCAGGCCGCGGTGTGCTGAGGTCGTTCACCGTCCAAACGCTTCCCATCAGTCACTTCGGGCGCTCCAGCGTGGTCCCTCCTTAGAACGCGTCACGCCTCCAGAACCGCCTCCAGTGCTCCAGCCGCTTCTGAGCGATCTCCAGACGCACACGAAAGGGAAATGTAAAGCCCGCGTCATGAGATCCCCCCTTCTCTCTCTCCACTACACCCATGTACTTCCAGCTGCTCCTTGCATGCCCGCCCCGGACGCTCGGCGTCCTGCATGCGGTCATAATTCGCCCTATTCACCCTTCCCTTCCGTTACGCCCTGTGGCTCTGGGCCGCCCCGCCCGCCGAGCTCCCCGCCCCGCCCCGCGCCGCGGCCCTCCCCGCTGCGCCGGGCCACACCGCTGGTCGGCTCGCCTGCTCGCCTCAAGTCAGTCAGCTTTGCCGCCCGCTGCCGCTCGCCTCGCCCGCTCCGTGCCGCTCCGTGCCGTGGCCGCCGCCAGCAGACGACGCGCTGCCGTGAGTCCGGTGTGGACGTGACCCGGAGCCCGCCCGCGCGTTGATGTCATCCGCCGAGGCTGCGCCGGCCCAAGCTCAAGCCGGTCGTGCTGCTGCTGCTGTTTTCGTTTCGTCTGCTCCGCGGCGCCCGGCGTCCTCCGCCCTGCCGTGAGGTCGTCGCCGCGCCGGCCGCGAGCCGCGAGTCGTTATCGAGTGACACTGGCCCTTATCTGCCCGCGCCGCCGCCACGCCCCCCGTGACGCTCAGTGATTGGATTACGACCAGGATTAGACCAGCAGCAGCAACAACTTCGACGTGAGTGAGTGAGTGGTCTCGGCTCTTCGCGATGGAATGAGAGTTTTCTGCGAAGGTGAAGTGGAGGAGTACGTCGTCTGCTATCCCGGATCGTCATCGCACAGCCTAGGGGACCGACGACGAGGACGTTCTTGCCTGGTGCGGAGCTTTGTGATGTTACGCGGGTCGCAGACGACGTAGGCACTTGCACTTGCAGTTTTGCAAAGCACCTCATTGTTTTGCGAAAGGCCCCCGGTCCGGCTGGCGCCCCGGCTGGCGAATGCACCGTGACCGCGCGGCCGCCGCGGCGCACCTCGCTGAAGGAATGTCAACAACAGTCGTGTGCGCCGCGGTGGGTTTGGCGCGATAGTGCAGTCGCCGGCCGTGCTCCGCTGGAAGGCCACGCAGGTGGGCCGCGCACCGGTGACCCCCCGCTGCTTGTCCTGTCGTTCAAAGTGTTTTATGCAGTGACCCTGTGAATCAGAGCTACAGTGTGTTCGGTGTCGATATGATTTGCATTGCAGCTCGCCTGCCCTCGCTGGGGTTAGGCGAGACCTGGGCCGCTGTCAAGGGTACGATGCGTATATGTCAGAGGGTTGATTGAAAGGGAAGAGGAAGAGGAAGGGGAAGGGGGGCAAATAAGCGCTGGGGTCGCAATGATAGAGAATGAATCACTACTCTCTTGGTTGGGGGTATGCGAGGGTGTTCCAAGAAGGGACTCGAGCAGCTGCAGGGCGTATGTTGATGCACGCACAGGGACATCCTCTTAGTGATCAAGATCGTGAGAATGTTTCCGGCCATGTCAAAGCCCGCGCGGGACGGCGTATGGCTCTCCCCGAGTGCCGGGCGGGCGTACGCGGATTCTGGTCCTCGTCGCGTGTCGGAATAAGCGGGAAAACATCGCCATTCATGTATGGGACCGTAAATGTCAAGATCCTGGTCGGATTCTACATGCCGTGACCCCGGGCCAGAGGCCAGGCCGCGGGGGGCCCGGTCAGCGCATATCGTTGGAGTCCATTCACAGCGTCCGCGGCCGTGAGCGGAGAGAGAGGAGGTGGGGGG